CTATGCTCTTTTTTAAAAAAAAAATATTTTTATTTGTTTGACAGAGAGATAGACAGTGAGAGAGAGAACACAAGCAGGGAGAGTGGGAGAGGGAGAAGCAGGCTTTCCGCTGAGCTGGGAGCATGATGCAGGGCTGAATCCCAGGACCGAGGGATCATGACCAGCGCCGAAGACAGCCGCTTAACCGACTGAGCCACCTAGGTATCCCAGAATCTATGCTCTTAAAGTAGGTTAAAGCCTGTCTCTAAAAGGCTAGGAATTTTGGAATATTTCTTAAGCTCTAGGAAAATGTTTGAGCAAAACTTTCGAGCAAGAGGGAGTTCGAGCAAGAGAGGACATCATGGGGTAAGAAAGTCTTATTTTGTGGGTGGCAGAGGTCCTTCAAAAGCATCTCTTGAGCACCTTCCGTGTGCTGGGCATTGGGGATAGAGAGAGCGAGACAGAGCCCCTGCCCTCCCATGCACGCCATTCTTGTGTTGGGGGCAGGTTCCCTCTAGCTCTCCAGAGCCCACTGTGAGCATCTTTTTCTTGATGATCGGGGACATCACTTTGGTAACGAAATTGACTATAGTGAGAGTATTTGCACCATGGAAATTGGCCAATGCTACAAATCAGGGCTTTTCTCCGGGGGCTGGTTGATACATCTTGAGCGCACAGTGCTGACTGGGAACACCTGCAGTGTGGTGGTAAAAGTCCTTACCCGATACAGGGCGGTACAAAGCGGGTTAGGACTAACTGCACGGTGAGTCAAGGAGGCCAGGCTTCTGCAGGGTGCTGAGGGATGAGCAAATGTTTGCTACGAAGACAGGGCAGCAAGGGACAGCTCAGAAAGAGGAGTGCTATGGCACAACATATTCATTCTAGAGTTCTGTGACAGGACACTCTGGGTGTGAGGGAGCTTGGGAACCTATGAGGTCTCAAACAAAAGGGTGTTCATTAAACAAACCCAATATCTGATTTATGAAGTGAACTAATTGGGACTGGGGAGGGAGTACCCATGTCACAACACATTAACCTTTGTCTTTAGCTGGCAGGATCTTAGAGGATTTCCAATGTGACTCAACTGGGCCTTTACCCAAAACCTCAGTAAAAGGGAACCTAGGTTTTGGGGAGGGACCTGGCATGAGAATGGACTAGAACATTCTATGGCTGCCAGCTAACTGGGAAATGTTGACAAAAGCTTTGAAATGCCTTGTATATTGGGGTGGGAGGGCCAGGGAAGCTGGCGGGAAATAGGACCAGGCTAAGTGAGGGTCACACACTTCCTGCCCAGAAATCAGAGCCAGAAAGCGGCACCACAAGGTTGTTGTGTTGTTTTTGTGTTGGATGGGGATCTGGGTGCTTATGGACTACTCAGTGAGCCTCTGGCTTCCAGAGGCCAAATTTTCTCCTCAGGACCCCCTTGGTCCTGTGCCCCAGACAGGGGTGAACATGGCATCAGACCGTCTCCACGATTCTCTGCTTGATGCCACACTGTCCTGAAGGTTCTGAAGGAGACTGAGGTCACTGGGCTGTCTAGGCAGATGGAGCTGCCTGAGCCAGGACCCCCCAGGACCTGGAAAAAAGCCAGCCCCTCCCTTTGATGGGCTGGTTATTGAGGTTGTTTTGCTCTGCAAGATGATCACAGGGTCTCATTTCTCTGCCAACCACCCCCATCAGCCCCGCAGCCCCCAGCCCCCTGCCAACCCCCGCCCCAGCACCCCCATCCCAGGCAGACTCAGATAGTCAGTGCAGAGACCACAGGAAAGGGATGGGGTGGTTATTGAGGTACGTGAGGTAAGAAGCTGTCTCAGGCTGGCCTTGGCCCAGCCCCTAATTGTAGTAGCTGGTTTAGGAGTAATTTGTAAAAGAGAGCTGGACTTTTGGGGTGAACCAAGGGGCAGTTACAAAAGTGCTAGGTTTACAAAGCGGAATGACTGCATCTTGGCTCATGAGGCTGTGTCGGGGACTGGGGGGTGTGTGGGGGACAAGCAGCACCATGGCGACCTCTGCATAGGGAGCTCTGGCCTGAAGGCAGAAGAGAGAGGCACAAGGCTTGCTCTTCATAAAAGGGCAAAGGGCTTTTCGTGGCTCTGAGGGTATGTGGTCATAGGAAGGTCACAGTAAGCAGTGCCCAGGGTGGCCTTCAAGCATGCAGGGGCCTTCTGTGGTGGCTGGCCTCAGGAAGTGGGAACACCAAGGGGCCTTAGGGTTCCCTCCGGCGCCCCTTCTGACCATCCCTCTGCATGCTTGGCACAGGCCTGAGGCGGGAACAGAGCTCACAAGCTCCCGTGCGCCTGGAATTGTTCTTTAGTGGGAGCACAGCTATTGGTTGTGCACAAGGCTAAACTGAGGCAGCTTGAGATGGCTGATCACCATGAGGTCTTGCTCAGAGCAGGGAAGGGCTCACAAGATGTACATCCCTGCCTCCCGGGGAACGTGCACACCAGCTCCCTGGTCCCCTGGGATGGTCCGCCCATTCCACTGCGTGTTCTGTCTTTGGGGTGCCAGCCAGGTGGCCATGCTTGCCGGAGGGGCGTGCACAGTGAGTGTGCAGGGTGTGTACACCTGTTGCTCTGCCGGTGCTGGGGCTCCATGCAGGGGCTCCCCCTTCCTGCCTGCCTCCCAGGTCTCTGCTCATGCTGTTTCCAGTTCCCACGGTACCCTGCTTAGCTCTGTCACCACCCAACCTATGCTTAAAAGCCCAACTTGGCTGTCCATCAAGCCCTTAGTGAGAGCTGAGCTGGCTTTCCCCAAGTTCCCACAGTGCATTTTGTGGTGCTCTAAGCCTTTTCCAGACTGAACTCATCTGTGGCCATTTGCATCCTCAGGGCCCATACACCAAGTGCTCCAGACAGGCCTGCTGAGTCGTACTCTCGAGGTGCTCCCTGCACGGTGGTGCGTCACGATCACTTCCCGAAGGAGCAGGCTTTTACGGAGTTCCTGGGTGCCGGGCCTAGCTAGGAATTTTCACAGCCACCAGCTCATGTAAATCTCCTAACACTGGGAGGTGGGATTGTTACCCTAGGAGGAAACAGATCAGAGTGGCCTGGTGACTGGTCCCAGGTCACATAGCAAGTGATGGAGCCAGAGTTCAGATTCGGGGTCAGCTGGATACCAAGGCCAGGGTTGCTTTTTTTTTTTTCCCCCCATTTCTTTATAAGCAGACACAAAAGAGCAATGTCATTTATCATGTATACTGTAGTCTCACATATATTATTTCGTTTGATCCTCACAACAGCCCTGTGAGGTAGGTAGGGTTATGTATTATTGTTATGCCCATTTCACAGACAAAGAAATGGAGGTGGCTCAGTGAGGTGAGTGACTTGCACAGTCACACAGCACATTAGTGGCTTCACAGGTCATTTACTTTCTCTAACGTTGAGCTGCATGAATTAAGAAGCACCGAAAAGATGGAGAGAGAGACGTTTTATGGAGGAAGAAAGGGCAAGCGGTGATTTATGAGATTTCTTCCTTCAACTGTTTTGTTGTGATCACAGCTTCTGCTGTCTGTTCTGATCCGGGTTCTCCTGAGTGACCTTTTTGAGTACCATTGGCCTGGTGGCCTGGGACAGCTGTCAGAGACTCCAGAGTCCCACTGTAGGGGGAAAAGGCCTTTATTTCGTAACAGAGGCAGCCCTGCCCACAGCCCAGCATACCAGCTCCCTACTCCCAGGGTGTAACTATGGGAAGCCCCTTCCTCAGCCCATCTCCTGGGAGGGACTGTGTCACTAGGCTCCCCTAGTTTTGTCTGAAGGCCCCTGCCCAATGGGGAAGACTGTGGGACTTCTAAGGCCATACTCCAGGGATGAATCATAATGGACAGTTTTGAGGCCTGCACTGTTCATCACCTCCTGCGGAGTGGTGGCTTGGTGTGTCTTGCCCAGGACCTTCCCCCGAGGGGGTCCCGGGGCTGGTTATGAGAGGAACAGTACCACAGGGGAAGGCCACTTCTCTCAGAGCAGTGTCATAGGGGCTGGACACTTCCTCTTAGAGCAGGGCTATGGTTCAGCCCACTCCTGGGCTCCTTGCTGCACACTGCCCAGCGAGCCCCTGGTCTCCTTCCTCTGGCAACACTTTCTTGGGGTGGCAAATCTTCATCCTCCAACAGGAAGTGGTCAAGAGCTATGTGGAGCCATGGCTGGTGAGCAGGTGGGTGGAACGGGGATCACAAACAAAACCATCATGAAATGGGACTGCCTGACAAGGGATGGCCGGGGGCTGACCTTGGTTCTGAAGACAAATCCCAGGGGGGAATCCCAATGCCAAGTAATAATATTGATAGGAGACACGTCTGGCTTCTTAATAAGACTGACTGTTTTGAAAGAGAAAGTATACATCTGGAAGAGAAGGAAGGTCTAGAACCAAGACTGGAAAATGGGAGTGGAAGGACAGATTTCGGTTTGATGTAAGGAAGGGCTTTTTAACAGCGCTGGCCAACCATGGCAGGGACTGCCCTGGGCATGATGAGCTTCCTGTTACTAGAAATATGCAAGCAGGGATATGTGATGACTTGAAGGTGCTGGGGAGAGCACTCAGCCCCAAATGGCCTGGGGCATGCTGGGGGCCGGGGAGGACAAAGTGACCACTGGATTATTTTCCAACCCTGAGAGTCCCTAATATTATTTGTGTAAAATGACCTATTTCAATGATACTTCAAATTCTTTGGAGGAAAGGATTACAAAAGTCACATAACAGTCTATGTTACGAAAGGCCTTTCATTGCCCTGGCTCCAGATACTTTAAAATCTTCACAGGGACAGCAGCTCATTTCTGAAGTGAGAAATCCCCAAACGTCTACATTTGGCCCAGTCAAGAGGGACAGCCCCATCCTCTGAACCCGGCCTGGACACTCACTCCGCTAGGCCGTGCCACAGCTCCAATCTCTCCCCGCCATAGTGGAGGCCAAAAATGCAGCTCTGAAATCTCACTTCCAAGCTGGCCCAACATGGCTGTCCCTGGGCAAACAAGTCCAAGGTTCCGGGTGCATCCTTGGGACAGAGAAGCAGGCGGCGTGGGTGACTTAATGTCCTGGGGAGCTGACGGGGGCCTTCTGTTTTCACCCCTTCCCCTTCACTAGGGGCTCCTTTCACAGAGGGCTTGGGGAGGCACTGCCTAATGGTACAGAGAGAGCCGGTGCCTGTGAAGAACCTGCCATTCCTCTGTAGCCAGCAAGCCCTCCTGTGGCCTTTTGGACACACTGGCAGACACTTCGCTTGTCATGACCAACTGCCCATCTCTAGCTCCAAGTGGCAAGGAAAAGGTGGCTCCATGGAGAGGACACATGGATTCGTATAGGGAGACTGCATTGTGGGGGGAATCAAGTCCTGCTACGCGATTAATACAGGTTAGTGTAGCGCCCTGGCTCCCACCACTGGCGAGACACTCTCCAAGATCTTGGCTGACATGGAGCTTCTTGGGAGCCCCCCTCCAGTGCTGCTGGGGTCCTTTTATCTGTACCGTATTAATCGAATAATCTTATTGTTCATAAAATCCACGGCATGCGGGTGAGAAGAATCGATGCAAAAGCCATCACTCAGGGCGATTTTCAGCACCTCTTCCACAAAGACCTGGAAGCTGTTGATCTGCTTGTTGGCTGGCACCACCCAGAGCCTCTTGAGGTTCTGCTTGGTGTACTCCTCCTCTGGGAGGCCCTCCACATTGGCCACCCAGTCCAGAGTCAGGTGGTTGGGGTCCTGCAAGTGGCTGGTGATGGAGGAGAGATTGCCATTGGAGCAGTAAAAGAGCTTGGAGCCCAGGAGCTTGAGGAAGAGGCAAGAGGTACTGAAGATGTTGGCATTGAAGACCTGCATGCTGGATGAGGAGAGGCTGTAGATCTGAGGGGCCTCGCGTACAGTGAAGTGGACCGTCTGTACCCGCTGGTTCAGGGTGATGTTGAGCATGGCGTTCTTCTCGGCCTTGGAGAGCTCCACCTCCTTCTCCTGCAGGGCCTCAATGAGGGGCTGCACCTGGTAGAAGTCAGCCTCCCTTCGGAGCAGGCCCATCTCCTGGAAGTCCTCCGGCAAGTCCAAGTGGGAGGTGCGCAGGAAGTTGAGGATGTAGCGGAAAACTTTGCCGTCACGGTCGATGAAGCAGTTGCCCTGGCTGTCCCTCTTGGTGGGCATCTTCCCACTGAACATGGCACCCAGCATGGAGTCGGGGAAGCTGGTCAAGGTTGCCAGTGAGGTTGTGTAGAGCTTCCCCCCGACGTTCAGTGTGATGGGGTCAGACATGGCAGGAGGCCGGGATGCTGGAAAGTAGTCCTGGGCAGGGAGAAAAGTGAGAAATTACCCAACCCTATCTGGGGTCTTGGTCTGTCGGGGCTGGTATGAAAGAATACCATAGACCCCTTGGCTTAAGCACTTCTCTCTCACAGTTCTGGAGGCTGGAAAGCCCAAGATTAAGGTATAGGCTGATTTGGTGTCTGGTAAGGGCCATGTTCTCGCTATGTCCTTGTGTAAGAGAAGGGGCAAAAGAGCTCTCTGGAGGGGTGCCTGGGTGGCTCAGTCAGTTAAGCAACTGCCTTCAGCTCAGGTCATGATCCCGAAGTCCTGGGATCGAGTCCCACATTGGGCTCCCAACTCCACGGGGAGTCTGCTTCTCCCTCTCACCTTCTCCTCGCTCATGTTCTCTCTCACTGTCTCTCTCTCAAATAATAAATAAATAAAATCTAAAAAAAAAAAAAGAAAAAAGAGCCTTTTTTCTGGAGCCTCTTTTATAAAGGTATTAACCCTGTTCATGAGGACTTAACCCTCATAGCCTAATCACCTCCCAAAGGTCCTACCTCCTCATACTATCACACTGGAGATGAGGAGTTCAACAGAGGAGCTTGGGGGACACAAGCATTTAGTCCCTAACATCTGTGTATGCATAGTGCTCAACTCCTTATTGTAGATCAAGCCCACAGTCCTAGAGGTTGGAGCGAATTAATATGGATTAAAAATGGATGGGTGATAATTACCACACCATCAAAAACATATTAGGTTCACTAGGGAGTTTAAAAAAAAAAAAAGCATGGATCTGCCCTCCAGAGATTACTGTAATTGGTCTTTAATATCCCAGCACTGGTATTTTTTTAAAAGCACCCTTGGTGATTCTGAATGTTCAGTTAAGACCAGAGAACCACTGTTCTAAGGAATGAAAGAAAAAGTGCTTGGACCGGAAGCTCTGTTACCTGCTCATACAGAAACTTGTTTACATAACGTCATACATATTTTGACTTAGAAAATACCACCATCCATGCCTATTGCGCAGATGAGGAACACTGCCAGGATTCACTCCCCATGCTGAGAGACGTGAACGGCCATGCCGGGATTCAAACCCAGGTCCCTTTATATGACAAGAGAAAAAATATGTAAATGATTACTAGCCAAACACTGGTACATTCTAAGTACCTAAAAAATGCTCTGAGATTTGTCTTCAAGCCCAGGACTCCTACTGCTATACCAATGATGCCTTCTTATTATTTTTCTATCCCAAAACATTTATAATGACTGGCCATGATTAGTGCCATTTCTGTCTATCTCCCAGGCTTACAATGGGCCTCAGCTCTCTGGACTCTGACACCCTTTCCTGGACTCTCACCCTGCCGCAACCTTGCTATGAAGATGCTCTTGGCTCCTGGTGGCCTGCCCTTTCCCAACATGATAGCACCATAGCCTCCTCTGACACCTTCAAGTTTCAGCGCAAATGTGGGTCTCTGCACCGAGCACTCTTTACCTGATCCTTAATAAAGCTCCCTTCCCCTGCCATCTTGCAGCTTCCAGCGTCTAAGGCTGGTGAGTCTCCTGCAAACTGAAGTTTTGGAATCTAACTTTTCTTTAAGATTCTAGAAGGCAGGGGATGTCCGCTCTCAGCTTCCCACATGATACTTTCCAAGATCCCACCTGTGGAACAGATTAAGCAATCCTTCCCTGATGCTGGGCCTGAGGGGTGCAAATAAATGGACCCTGACTGCTCTCGAGAAGAGCCCAGCTGGCGAGGACACCAAGACAAGAGGTGCAGTAACAAGGGGAATGGACCCAGAGCTATGCGAGTAGGTCAGTAATGAATCCTGGCATGCTCACTGTCCAGATGGGAAAACAGAGGTCTGAAGCAGGACTTCCCCCAAAGTCACCCAGCAAGGGTAGTGAGCAGGCCACCAGAGCACTCCTCACCCTCACCGTGCCTGCCTTCTGAGGCTGGCTCCACCAAGGCTCCCTTACTCCAGATGGTGGAGACTCTTGCCAGAAGATGGAGGCGATGCTGGAGAGAGCTGACCCAACCAACTGTCTGGGGGGTCGCCTCACGATTCCTTCTCCATCTCATGGGGCACCCTGATACTGCAGAAAGGCATCAACCATCTGGAGTGCCTGAAGAGAAACAAGCCATGATGAAGTTGCAAAATCGGCAGCAGAAGCCTGGAGCAGATGGGCTGCGAGACAGTGGGGAAGTCCAACAGAAGGGGTGGGGCGAGGGGCTGAGGGAGGGGTGCCTGCTGTGCTGAGACCTGCAGCTGGGGGTTGGGGCTTTGGCTCAGGGCTGAGTCTGGTCAGTTTGCTCTCCAGAGGGCCCAGGCAGGAGATGGACCCAGGGGCCAGGGCCACCCCCTTCCTCATTCCAAAATCTCCCTTTCTTTCTAGAAGGTAATTTGCATATTTCAGTTTTCAGTCTCACTCCTTGATTTAAGGCCCAGGCTCCATGAAATGGCTCAGCTCCATGGAAAGAGCAAACTCAGGCATCAGAGAGGCTGGGCTGTCTTTCCTGACAGTTCTGTGGGCCCGTATGTCCTGTACATTAGTGCTGAAGAGCTCAGAACGCCGGGTGGGGAGACAGTCAGTAGCCACAGGGCATGTCTGGGGGCTCTTGGGTGAGCACCCAAACTCCTCTTTCTCTGTAAAAGCAGCAGAGGCTGGTTGGATGCCAGGTTTCCTGACCACCGCTGCCCCCAGTCTAGGGTGCTCTCGGTGATATTCTCCGCATGCCCAAAAGTCACAGAGCTCCTCCAAGTGCCTGTTTTCTAGGGGCAGCACCACTGTGTCCACCATCACACATGCGCGGGCCCCATGGGCACAGACACACATGTAGAAGGCACCGTTACATGTGAAGACAGAACTGGCCCCCTCTGGGATGCTGAGAAGCCTCGTGAGTCTGCTTTGTGGTCAGGTGGGGATGAGCCACCCTCACTGAGCTACAGCCCCCTGGGTGTACTCAGCGGTCTCCTTGACATCTCCACCTGGATGTCCCACGGGTACCAGGAAGCCCAACGAGGAATTCCTCTTCCCCAGTGAACTCTTCTCAGCCACCCAAATGTCTGAACCCAAGACCTGGGAGGCAGCTCTGACTCCCTATCCCTAAAAATTTTCTCACTCTGTCCTCGAACCCATCTCTACAGCTACTCCCAGAGCTCTGACCACACCGCCACTTTCCTTCCATCCTCACTGGGCGCCCTGCTTTCTTTCTGTCCACCTTCCATTTCAGTCTTCCCGAAGCACGATGGCCCACCCACATCACCTTCCGCTTCCAAGCTCACCTCCAGCCCCTCTGGTCCTCCAGACACTCTGCGCACATCCTCACGCTGTCACCCATCCCACCTTTGCTGTCTCTATACCACCCTTCTCGCCTATCTGCTGTCACCCTTTAAGGCCCACCTATGAGTCACTGCCTCTGTAAGGCTGTCCCCAGATCTCCACTAGGTTCACAGCTCTACTCTTGGGCTTCCTGGCCCTTTGCACAGTCCCCCTGGCAGTGCCCACCAATCCATTATGCTATGATCATGGCCCTTCTCCCCGGCTTTATCAAGATGCAGACCACTGGACATCCACATGCAAAAAAAGGACCTTGACCCACATCTTAGACCATGTAGGAAAAAATAACTCCAAACAGATCATAGGTCTAAATGTAAAATCTTTTGAAAACTTGAAAACTCCAGGACAAAACCTTTGTGACTTTGAGTTAGGCAAAGATTTCTTGGCTGGGACCCAAAAGGCACAAACCATAAAAAAACTGACAAATGAGGCTTCATCTGAAGGAAAAATTTCTTTTCAAAAGACACTGTTCAGAAAATGAAAATAGGGGCGCCTGGGTGGCTCAGTGGGTTAAGCCTCTGCCTTCGGCTCAGGTCATGGTCTCAGGGTCCTGGGACAGAGCCTTGCATTGGGCTCTCTGCTCGGCAGGGAGCCTGCTTCCCCCTCTCTCTGCCTGCCTCTCTGCCTACTTGTGATCTCTCTCTCTCTCTGTGTCAAATAAATAAATAAAATCTTAAAAAAAAAAAAGAAAATGAAAATAAGATGAACTGGGGAAAATATCTGCAGAACACAGACCTGATAAAGGACTGTTAACCAGAATACATAAAGCACTGTCAAAACTCAGAAAACACGCAACCCAATGAAAAAACCAGGCAGACAATCTAAACAAATCCTTCAGCAAAGAAGACACAAATAATCACATGAAAAATGCCCAAAAGCAGTAGTCACGAGAGACACAAATATTAAAACCACAATTACATACCATTATATACTTATTAAAATAGCTCCAATAAAAAAATGTGACAATACCAAATGCTGCTGACTGCACAGAGCAAAGGACACTCACGTGTGTTGCTGGTGAGACGGCAACAGGGTATAACCATTGTGGAAGGCAGTCTGGTGTCTGTTTCCATGTGACCCAGCAATCCCACTCCTAGTTAGGTGCCCAGAGAAATGAAGACGTACATCCATGCAAAAACCCATCCCTGGAGAATTCTTGAGCCCCGTGCTGGGTTCCCTGCTCCCTCCCTCCCTTCTCTCCACTCCCCCCAGCCTGGGGCTCAATACCAGGACCCTGGGATCATGACCTGAGCCAAAGGCAGACGCTTAATGACTGAGCCACCCAGATGCCCCTACACTCACTAGCTTTAAACATTCTTATAGCAACCCTAAAAGTAAGCATCACTCTCCATTTGGCAGATAGGAAAGTGGGACACAGAGAGACTGGTGACTTGCTCAGGACACACAGCCAGCTAGTGGAGAACCCATCCTTGGCCCACTCAGTCTGCAAAAAGTTCCAATAGTGACCAAAGGCTGTAATAGCTTCAGATACGTTTGAGAATCTCCAAAACAGCCCTAGCAACATTGCCCTGTGGCTTACTCGGCAAGATAGCTACTGAGTGCATGCCTCCTGCTCTCACTACGTGCGGAGCTTCATGTAACATTTGGTAGCATTTTATTTATTTGTAATAAAAATATACAGAGAAGCACAGACAATGATCCTATTATGTTAAATGCTGGACAGGCATTTGTTCACC